TTCTAGTTCTTTCTTTCCGGGCCTCCCTCGGCGTCAGGCTCCTCAGCCTCACCTCTTGGCTCGCACGGGTGACACGGGTAGAACTAGTTGGAAGTAAGCGTTCCGCCAAGTATCGAGGTCCTATTGCCCCGCAGGGAGTGATTTCATTTTTTCAGAGGGGCGATGAAACAGAGAGGGGCAACACAGGGGCAGAGGAACAGAAGGGGGGCAATAGGGGGCGATGGAGCCGCCGTACCACCACCATTGAAGAAGTTATCATCGCCCCCTTTCCCGCGGCGGATCCAGAGCAGCTGGTACTGGCTGCTGCGCCACCACCACCATTGAGGAAGTTATCATCGCCCCCCTGCAGCCGCCACACCGCACTGGCACGGAGAGGGGCAATGATAACTTCCTCAATGGCCTCAAGGGGGTATTTCTCTCAAAAAGGTTAAGAACCACTGTTGTAGTGGATAGAATGACAAAGTAGGACTCAGGAGGTCTGTGTCCAAACCCCTGCTCAGCCATGGAAGTTCACTGGGGAAGTGGAGCTGGTAAAAACACTCCTTAAATGCCTCACCTTGAAAGCCCTATTAGGGTCACTATAACTCAGTTTCAACTTGACAGCACATAACAACTGTGATACAACATGAATCATCCACGCAGCTTGCTTGGATACAGTCCTCTGTACAGTATACACACAAAATCTGCCCTATCTTAGGAGATCCAGTATATTTCTGAAGGGTACCAGAACTAATTGCTGGACATTAACCTGTCTCTGGTATATTTTCAATTAACCAGGGACAAGGAAATCCAATATATTTTCGTTTATTTTCTGCTGAAAAGAAGCAAAAGTAAATGGAAGCAGCTCCATCCGCCAGAACATGCAGAGGAGAGGCGTGAGGCGCCTGTACAGAATATACATTTTATAAATTCAGATGAAAAGGAAGGAAGCAAAGGGGTGTGGAGAAGGAGGGGACAAATGAGGGGTCGCTGGTGCCTGGGCTCTTGGCCATCACTCTTCTCTCCTGTCTTAGTGCTAGGTACCAAAGCTCTCTTATTGGGAAGCAAGGACAAATTCCCAATTAAAACCAGTCACTTGCATGCAAAGGAATGCAGCCAGCTTTCCTCCTTTGTCTACTCCTGTCTGCTAAGCAGAAACCTGATATAATAGGTTACACATTCATGTGGCAAAGCAAATCAAATAACAGAGACAAGATGGCTGCTGTTAGGCTAATTTATTCTTTCATATAAATGTGTTCATTTGATGCCTTCATTTCTTTCTGGCCACAAAACAATACCTATATACTCTACTCAGGTACTGCCACATCAGGCATTACACCAGACATCATCTTGAAGCTGTAAGATGGAATGGTGGAATATAATAGTAGGATTGTGTCTGGTTCTGTTTGTAGGCTCGTTTGGGGATTCTCATTGTATCTCAATTTCATGCAAATTTGTGTGAAATCTGATTTGATTTCTGCCCTGGATTCAGTTTGTAAGATCAATGTACTAGAAAACTGAAATGTCTGTAACTTTGTTGGTTTTGCATGTACATGTATAAAATATGGGTAGATGGGGCTTGTTAGCCTTGGAAGGCAGCCCATCTAGGAGAAGAAAAACTCTGATTTTAAACCTCCACTGCCTTGTGGCTATATCCATCGATGGAAAAGGCTTCCGGAGTTAACCTTGAGGCAAAATCCAGAGCTGGAGTCCTGGAGGCAGGTTGTGATGCTCTGGCAACTCCTTCGACATCACTGAAACCAGTTGTATTGGCTTCTGCATTTCCATTGGATTATTTCAGTGACATGGAGAGGGGGGATTTGCTGCTTGGGTAACAGTCTGTCCTCCATATTACTTTACCCAGGCCTTGTGCTCTGGAGAGGACATGCCAGCTTCGCATATAGCGTCGAAATAACACGGGAAGTAGCAGTTACCAGTTATAAGTCTTTGCTCGATTGGTGTAGAGCATGACACTAGGGGTTACTTCCAACAGTAGGAGAGGTAATTGCACCTCATTAGGTACCTACCGCCTGCCTTAAGCTGGGCAGCCCCAGCTAGTAAGGTGCTGCTTCACCATGGTCTGTTAACCTCACGGGGTGTGGGGGGTTTAGGGTGAAAGCCAACAAACAGATCGATAATCCTGCACCATGCAAGAATCATAAGAAAACTTCTGCCCTAAAGCTGGGCACCTGTAATGTTCGGACAATTACCTCTGGCTTTTCTGACGACTTGCAGGAAATAGACGATGCACACAAGAGAGCTGTCATCAACATGGAATTGAGTAGGCTGTTCATTCTCAGAGATTTTAACACTAGAGTTGGTGCTGATCACAATTCTTGGCCCACTCATCTAGATTGGTTTAGCATTGGGAAGATGTACCAAAATGGCCAATGCTTGCTGAAGTTTTGCTGTTATTATGATCTTTGTGTCAGCAACATGTTCTTTAATATGACATCCAAGATCAAAACACTGGCATCAGCTCGATTTGATCCTCACTAGACGTTCTAGCCTTCTTAGGACAGTGGTACATCGCAAAACGATTACCCCTCAGAACGACGAATCCACATGATGATGATGTTTTGTGAGCGCCATTTTGCTTCGCAAAACAGTGATTCCTATGGGGGAATTTTGCTGGACGGTGATTTGGTCCGTGCTTCGTGGACCGTTTTTTCGCAGGATGACAATTTAGAACAGCTGATCAGCAGTTCGCAAAATGGCTTCCCTTGGGACGATCTTCGCAAAACGGGTGTTTTCGGGCCCGTTTTTCGCAAGACAGTGATTTAGAACAGCTGACTGATGGTTCGCAAAGCGGCTTCCCTATGGGCGATCTTTGCAGGATGATGAGGTATTTTCCCCATTGGAACGCATTAAACGAGTTTCAATGCATTCCAATGGAGAAAGGCTTTTCGCTAGATGATGTTTTCGCTAAACAGCGATTTCAATGGAACGAATTAACATCGTCTAGCGGGGCACCACTGTATTATCATAACATGCAGTTACCAGAGCGCTTATTGTGATACTGATCACTCCCTGGTGTGTAGTAGAGTAAAACTGTGAACAAAGAGATTGTATCACACGAAAAAGGAAGGAAGACCACGTATTGACATCAGCAAAACTCGTGATCAAAGAAAAGTGGAGGAGTTTGCCCAAGTGCTTGAGGAAACGCTTCGAGGCCCGGCTGATGCAAATGCACCTGAACGATGGGAACATTTCAAGAATGCTGTTTATAACACCGCCTTGTCCACAATTGGCAAGAAGACCAAAAAGACGGCCGACTGATTCAAAGCCCATTCAGAGGAGTTGATGCCAGCCATTGAGGAAAAGAGGAGAGCTCTAGCAGCATACAAAGCCTGTCCTAGTGAGTACAACTTGCAGGTTTTTCGAGTTGCTCATAGCAAAGTCCAACAGGCTGCCAGGAGATGTTCTAACGATTATTAGCTTCAGCTCTGCTCAGATACAGACAGCAACAGACACAGGTAACATCAAGGGAATGTATGACGGGATCAAGCAGGCTTTAGGTCCAATACAGAAGAAATCTGCTCCCTTGAAGTCTGCTACAGGCATGATCATCCAGGACCGAGCACAGCAGATGGAACGCTGGGTGCAGCACTACTCTGAGCTATATTCCAGAGTGAATGTAGTAACCAAAGAGACACTAAATAACACTGAGTGCCTGCCTGTTTTGGATTCTTGGGGGTCAAGCAACCATTTCTTAATGTTTGATTATTTTAAATTTTGGCTCAAAATGCTTCCAACTAAGTAGAAAGCATTTTGCCATTGCCACCATTTCTTCTATTTTAGATGCAATGCAGAAGGGAGAAAACAATTATAGTTCCTTCACAGCTAAAAGGCTACTCTGACAGTGTAGGCAGATGAGTATTTTATCGTCTTTCAACTGATTACTGTCAAGGAGTCAAGAACTCTGGACATCATGCTTCATTCTTCTATTACCTCACCAAGACACCTTCCATGAGTCATTCTGCCTTCCTGTGCTCAGTTTCATCATGCACCCATAATAATAGCCTAGTGATCAGGGCAGGTTTATATCTCTACTGACATCAGACTGTCAACTTGGGGATAATTTTCCAAGCTAAGCAGTGGCGTCACTTGTTGCATCTCACATTGTCCCAAAAGGAAGGTAGCTGGGTGATCAAAGAGAGAAGCTTTCCCTTCAACAAACAATTCCAAACAAAGTGTTTGTTTTCATATTATTCCCACAGGAAACACAACAGTATTGTTTCACTGCCAAGAACTTAACTGTTGTTATTGTTTGTTTTTGGCAATACAGTTATCTGTTACAGCAGAAAATTCTTCAGACCTGCTTTATTTTAGCTTATGAAATGTACTTTTGGACTAAAAAACTCAGCATCCCCAGAAAGGAGGGTTCCAATCTCTGGTACAGATGAATGGAGAGACCGAGGCAGAGACACAGGCAGAAAGATTTTTTTAAAGGATAGCCAGTCAAGCATCTACAGAAAAGAGGAAATGTATCAATAAGCAGGAAAAAAGAAAAAAGAAAATCCAGTTCAGTATAATATCATTTTATCTTATTTCAAGCTATCATGTAAATTCCCTAGATATCATGTCTGCCTATATATATGCCTTGATTGATGTGCTCCTCTCAGATTCACATCAAAAATTGGTTTGGGTTCAGTTACAGTTACAGATAGACCAACTTGCAGACCCATTTAATCCTGTGATTAAAGAACATAAATAAGCAGAGCTGAATACTTACTGAATATTTACAATTATGTTAAAGTACATATATTTCAATAATATATAAACATACAACCATTCAATAACACTTGAGGAGAGGCCATACATGTGCATATAGAAAATCCCTCACTCAGCAGGGGTGGAGGCCTTAGATTCTGTCTCCTATTTATCATGCTGCCCTTTCATCCCCCACAGAAAGAACAGGCCCACGCCCACCAGAAAGACCACTGTTAACAACTGTTAATGACCCATGACAGTGGGGGGAGAAGGACTGCAGAAGTGGGATTATCCCTCACCCCCCAAGTCCTTTGTCCCTCTAAGGAGCCTATTCAGACCAGGCAGAAGTGAAACCAGCGTGGAGGATATATCAGGGTCTCCTACCAATTTTCCTCAGACTGAAGAAGCTACTTGAATGAGTAGTGAAATCTTTCAACCTAATAGGAGAGAAGTCCAATTGCCATGACTCAACTTCCAGATAACCTCACCTGAACAACTGAGAATCTTCACAGATACAGATGTTACGCTGAGTCCCTTCATGCTCAAATATTTTAGAGCAGTGGTTCCTTGCTTTGGATCCCTAGAGGTTCTTGGACTACAACTCTCTGAAATCTTGGTCAGCATAGCTAATGGTGAAGCCTTCTGTGAGTTTTAGTCCAAGAACATCTGGGGACCCAAGGTTGGGAACCACTGAAGTCAACATTCCTTAGCCCTGTACAAACTGGCCATTTTGACCGGTGTGACGTGGTTTCTCTGTTGTGTCCTTTCAGCTTTTCTTTTCTGTTCCTTCTTATGCTCCTTCCATGTAGGGAGATCCACACACGGATGGGGGATCACAGCCTCAGGGCCAACGAGGGTTCCGAGCAATGCATCACATCAGCCCAGAAATTCCCGCACCCAGCCTACAATCCTACTACACATGACAATGACATCATGTTGATACGATTGCGAAACTCGGCCAACATCAATGAATACGTTCGGCCAATTGAAGTGGCCACTGAATGCGCTACACCCAACACACGCTGCGAGGTGTCAGGCTGGGGCACCATCAAGACTCCTCAAGGTACGACAGCAAATTCTGCAGATGCACCAAGTATAGGGCAGGGTGGGGAGAAATCTTTTGCTAGAGAAGCTGGCTCCAGCTTTTGCCATTTGAAGTGTACCTGAAACCTTAAGCCATAACTCTGGGTACCTGGGACAGACAGCACTGTTTCCCATTCACTTTTATGTTGAGGCATAGACCAATCCCCCACCAAGGAAAAGAGAAAAATGAGCACTATGTGGTCCTCCTCTCCTCAAAAGAAAATAGATTTCTACTTTTTTAAAAAGAATACAATAGGGTTGGGAGGCATTGCCATTTATTTTCTTAATATCCCTCCAGTAGACTCTCATCTGGATTTGGGCATCTTCTTACCTTTTGCACCCTAGGGCAAACTCCCAGTTGACCTGCCCTACTTACATTGTTTTATTCTTTTTTTTTCCTATCCTGCCTTTCTCCCAGTAAAAGAACCCAAGGCAGCTTATAAAAGATAGTCAAACCAAGCAAAAGTGGCTTCCTCTCTTTGCTGCCCTTTCTAGATTCATCAACTTTGTGTTCTTTGTTTGCAGCTGAGTTCCCTGACCTGCTGCAGTGCGCAACGGTCTACACGGTATCCAATGAACAATGCAATGAGGCGTATCCGAATGCCATCACGGAAAACATGCTGTGCGCTGCTGTGAAAAGAGGTGGCGTGGACTCCTGCCAGGTGAGTGGCCTTTTCAATTGGCAATATACCGTATTTTTCCATATATAAGACCCCCCCATGTATAAGACGTCCTTCACTTTTCTAATCCAAAATTAAGAAAAATAAGTGGGGCTTAGCAAGTGTAGGGGAAAAGGGATCAAAGCGCTGCAGGATTGCTTTGCTCCCTGCTTTCCCCTCCACTTGTTTTTGTCCTCTTCTCAGCTTACTTCTATGTAAAAGACGAGCCTCAATTTTTAGTCTAAAGATTTTAGACAAAATTATAGTCTTATACATGGAAAAACATGGTAAGTACAAAGCAGGGAAAACCAGCTGATTGTTTTGGAGCAACTATAGTAAACTTTTATTCAAGCCTCAACTTAAAAGGACTTTCTTTTTCCTAGGCTTTTTTCCTATACCCCCCTCAATTACTTAACACTATATACACACAAGATTTCAAACCTAGACAAATTATAGTAACAAAAGTAAATGTTACTAGTTAAATGGGAGTGGAAAAAGCATTAGCATTCCCAGATATGAGAAGTTGGATCGGTCTGGTTTGCACTTAAAAGATTTTTATTGTTAGTGTATTCTGTTCTGTCTGTCACTTAGCAATCCTTCCATTCACACTGATAGATGGTTTTTCTCCCATTAAAAGGGTCCAGATAGTCTTTGGATTTCTCAAATTTGTTCCCCTTTTGATTAATGATATTCCCCTTCCTGTCCCCTTCATTCAATGGGCTGCAGCAACTTTCTTTTTTTGTTTTGTTTTGTTTTGTTAAATAAAATAAGTGACATACTGCAACAGCAATGCATCTACCTAACATACTACACATAATATCAACAAATGTGTAGATGACAGAGACAGACAGACAGACAGACAGACAGACAGACAGACAGACAGACAGACAGACAGACAGACAGACAGACAGACAGACAGACAGACAGACAGACAGACAGACAGACAGACAGACAGACAGACAGACAGACAGACAGACAGACAGACAGACAGACAGACAGACAGACAGACAGACAGACAGACAGACAGACAGACAGACAGACAGACAGACAGACAGACAGACAGACAGACAGACAGACAGACAGACAGACAGACAGACAGACAGAGCTGAGGCTCCAGGATACTTTGGCCATCTCATGAGAAGAGAAGACTCCTTGGAAAAGACTTTGATGTTGGGAAAGTGTGAAGGCAAGAGGAGAAGGGGATGACAGAGGATGAGATGGTTGGACAGTGTCATCGAAGCTACCAACATGAATTTGACCCAACTCCGGGAGGCAGTGGAAGACAGGAGGGCCTGTCAACATATCAACACACTCATACACACACACACAAACATTGCACCAAAAATTGTAGCCCCAGCACTGTACTGAAAAAGGAGCAAAACATCTCTAAAAAGTGATGTGATGGATAACTCTAAATGAGTAAAGCATATGAACAAAAAACACCCAAACCAATCTAAATAGCCTGTCTGAACATGCTGTTATTTTGCAAAAGGAACATTGCTATGACCTATTCCCTTGAAACAAGGTGTTAAGAGTTGTGCTGCCATGAGTGGACTGTTGTTTTGCAAAAGGAACATTGCTATGACCTTATTCCCTTGAAACAAGGTGTTAAGAGTTGACATACTTCTGACCTGTTACTTCTAAGCCTTAATTTCTTCCTGGCTTCTTGTCTCTATCCCTCATAGACAGCTACCACAATTGCCACAGAAATTCCGTGCCAAAATTGGCAGCAGCCACCAAACTGTACGGGAAGAGCAAAGGTGGCATGTTCAGTAGAGCAGTAGTGCAGCCGCTATGTGGAGGTTCCCTAAATTCGGGAAGTTTCTTCTTATTATTGTATGCCATCAAATCACATCTGATTTATGGCAACTGTACTAGAGTTTTCAAGGATGTGATATATTTAATGAGTGGTATTACAATTGTCCACCCCAGTGAGTTTTGGTGACTGAGAAGGGGTTTGAAGCCATGTCTCCTGAGTTCTAGTCTGTCCCCCATGCACTACATCACACTTGCTCTCAAAGGATGCATCTTTCCCCTGGTTTACATAAATGAATGAGTGCTCTTTTTTTCCCCCTTCAGGGTGACTCTGGTGGGCCCTTAGTGTGCAACAACAAACTCCAAGGCCTTGTCTCTTGGGGTATGCAGGTCTGTGCCCAACCTGGAAAGCCTGGCGTCTACACAAATCTCTGCCGATTCACTGGTTGGATCCGGGACACCATACAAAAAAATGCAGGCTACAGAGCTGCTGATACTTGCTAGTGCAATGGAGAGATGATATGCTCTGGGACCAGGATGTCCGAATAAATGATATGAAATTGAGTTTTGTCTCTTCATGTTCTACCAGTGCTTTTTTCCAGACCTCTTATCTTTGATATAGAAGGCACGACAACTCTAAATGTGGTTTTTTTTTGGGGGGAGGGGAGGCAGGATTCACTAGTGTCTGAGATAAAAAAACAAATCTTGTTCAACAACTGGAAGAAGACACTTAACTACAGTGTATAGAAAATCAGTCCTTCAGGCTTCTTTGAAAAATACTCTTTATACATTCCTTCCTTATTGCAGCTTTGTTTCTCAATTTTCTTCCCCTCACCACTATATTTAAAGCTAATAAAGAGGATACTCTGACATAGAAATAAATTCTGCATAGGAAGCTTTGTAGCCCTAAGCTCCACCCCCTGCAACAAAGTCTGGTTCAAAATAATACCAGTTTCCCAGGAAGGTTAAAAAGTATGGAAGGCATGCATCATGGCAAATTCAGCCTTGCATTGTCTGATCAGTGTAAATCACCAACAGTGTTGGATCAAGTATTTTTGCCTTTAAATCCTGAAAAGCAGAAATACAACAGTAAAAGCTGTCCTTGGTGTCCAAGAACACGGCTGAAAGAAAATTGCTGTCTGGATTTTTGTCTGTTGTGCAACTGCTAACAACGCCACACGCAACCGAGGGGCAAGCAAGGATTGATAGATTCTGGAAGAAGTTCCCCCCTCCCCGGCTTTGAACAGAAAGGATAACTCCCTCCACACTATTCTTAACAGTGACATGGTGCATCGAATTATTTTATTATTTATTTATTTATTTATTTGATTTATATCCCGCCCATCTGGTATATTTATACCACTCTGATGGCACCAACTCGATGTTTTGGGGTGGGAATCAATGTGTAATTGACTACTGTGGGAAGCATGCAACCCTGTTTGAAAGGAGCGTTTTGGTGTTCTTCTGATCTACACATGGTTTCATGCTCTGTATTTGTTTGTGCATTTATTTGATCTGTTTCTCTCCTTTCTTCCAAAACTGGGACTCAAGGCACACCAAAGATTAAAAAACAGATACAATAAAAATACAAAGTAATGTAATATGAAACAATTATTTTAAAAACTGAATTGAGAACAATTTAAAAACTTATCAATAAAAAAACCCTTATCATACATTAGGTACTGTAAAAGTCATCATTCAGTTGCCAGGTGCCCACTTAGATAAAAAATGTCTTATCTGCAATGTGTTTCATTTTAGACTTAGGCAAAAAGCAGATTTTGGCCAGATGGGCTTTAACTGAACTTAATTCCTGAATTCACTACTGAATTCATTCCTATTCTGCTTGCCCTCCTAGCAAGCACTCAACCTCCTCCTCCTCCTCAAATTGTGATCACAGCCCTGTGAGTTAGATCAGACTGAGAAAACATTACTAGCCCAAGCCATCTGATTGAATTTCATGAGGAACAGAACCCAGATCTTGCAAATTCTAGCCTAGCACTCTATGCAGTACACCACGCTGGGTCTATGGTTTGTGTGGTTAACTTACACACTGCCTTATTTTACTGGGTTGTGGTCCAATTCTGTTGCACATTTGCTTTTTCACTCAAGCAACAGTGAGTGACAAAAGATGGCCAAAGAAGAGAAGTGGCCAAGCAAGGTTGATACAGGCAAGTTGATACCATAAGTTGATACAACCCTTTCTCTATCCATACCTACCCCCTAACCCTAAATTCCCCTCCCCATAACCCTACCCAATTGAAAATAATTAAAAAATTGAAAATCAAAAGAGCTACTGAAATTAGATTTTATTACTGTCAGGGAGGAGACTCTTGAGAGTCCACTGGACTGCAAGGAGAACAAAGCTATCAATTCTAAAGGAAATCAACCCCGAGTGATCACTGGAAGGACAGATCCTGAAGCTGAGGCTCCAATACTTTGGCCATCTCATGAGACGAAAAGACTCCCTGGAAAAGACCCTGATGTTGGGAAAGTGTGGAAGCAAGAGAAGGGGACGACCGAGGATGAAATGGTTGGACAGTGTCATCGAAGCGACCAACATGAATTTGACCCAACTCCGAGAGGCAGTGGAAGACAGGAGAGCCTGGCGTGCTCTGGTCCATGGGGTCATGAAAAGTCGGACACGACTAAACGACTAAACAACAACAACTGTCAGGGAACCAGACAGAAGTAAGACTTGGTCACCAGTCACACACCATCCTACCAGTTCACTGGGGGCTGAGTTGGTTTCACTAGTCCTCTGCCAAGTCCAGCCTTTGCCCAAACTTGAGTTCCAGTCACAGGATTTGGGTTGTCCACAGTCTGTAAAGCAGGGGTCTCAAACTCAGTTTACCTGGGGGCCGCTGGAGGCAGAGTCTGGGTGAGGCTGGGCCGCATCAGATTTTCCGCCAAGTGGAGCAAGAGCCCGAGGAAGCCACCCAGGAGTTTCCTTAGCCCGGGTGAGGCTCCGAGGCGGAGGAGGAGGAAGCACCACTGGGTGCTGAGGCGGCCACTGGCCAAGCTGGTGCTGGGGGTGCCGAGAGAGAAAGAGAGCCAGAGAGCCACTTCCCTGGAAGAGGTGGTGACGGCGGTGACTGTTGTTGCAGGCACTCTTTGAGGACAGGCTGGGAGTGAGCTCCGCTCTCAGGCATCACTTGGCAGCGGCTCAGGCGCTCACGGAAAAGGGCTGGCAGCGCGCCTCGCTTG